ACAATAAGGCTTTCTGTCTGATTTTAACTTTGCTCCTATTCAGATGCCTACTTGAAATATAGTTCTAGAATTCAGTTTTACACGTTTTCATACTGATTGTTTTTCTGCCTTTAAAATACATTTCAAAGGTCATGTTAATGACCTATTTTAAGAGTAGGACCCATAGTTGTTATTGGTCCCTATCCTAAAAAAAATATTAATTTCTTCCAGAATATCCTTTAGCTATATAAACAATTCAACAATGAAGTTTTTCATAAATATACCCTGGTAAAATTTATGTACAATATTCAATTCTATTCTGAATTTTGTGTCTCATCTGTAGGTGGTAAAATTATGGACACCATATAGGAAATTCTCTTTTCCATTTAGATTTGGTTTAGTCATTAGCAACCAAAATCCATTTATTTGGGTAAAGTGAAAAGTGTATGATGAGTAAAACAGAATGGCCAATAAAAATTGATATGCACTGAGTTCAGTTTATTCTTCTATTTCAATTGTGCCAGTTAACTTGGAGAGTTTGCAGGCTAGTATCGTATAATTGTGCAGTTTTTTAACTTTACATTGTATTTGATATTTCAAAAATAGAATAAAAATACACAGGTTTTCCTGGGAAGAATAGGATACATATTTCCTAAATGCATTCTTAAGCAGATAATAGTTTTATTTATTCATTTTTAGGTTTGCCATAGGGTGAAAGAGACAGAGAAAGGGAAAGCGAAAAATCACCAGCATGAATGGTCATGCTGCAATTCCTTCTCCTCTATTTCCTCTCAGGATTTTGGGCACGCATACACCCGCACTTGGTGTGATTTGCAAGTTGCTAGGTCCAGGACTCGAATGGTGGTTGGCCATGCAGAAGTCCAGTGCCTTAACCACTATGCCACCTGCTGGCCCCAGTTTTAACAGGTATTTATTTTTAATAATTTTTTAACAATTAAGAATGATTTATCAGAATTGGCAGGTGGCATGGCAGTTAAGGTGCTGGACTCCCACATGGCAGATCATGGTTCAAGTCCCAGACCCGGTGGCTTGCTTTCTCACTTTCCTTCTCTATCTCTGTCTGTCTCTCTTTGATCAAATTTGAAAAATAATAGTAATAATAACAAATAAAATTGAATAAAATAATTATTAAAAAAGAATGATGTACCAAATCATATCTATAGAAAATGCTTTTTGGGTCTTTTTAAAATAATATTTTAATTTTATTAATACTGTTACTTTGCAAAGTTTACATTGCCATTTCTATCCCAGTTTGATTAATGTTTGGCTTTGGACGTTTATAATTATGTGATTAAAACTTTAGCTTTGGGACTAGCAGATGGCGTAATGTCTGCATAGATTAATGTTTGGCTTTGGACATTTATAATTATGTGATTAAAACTTTACCTTTTGGGACTAGCAGATGGCGTAATGTCTGCAAGATTAATGTTTGGCTTTGGACATTTATAATTATGTGATTAAAACTTTACCTTTTGGGACTAGCAGATGGCGTAATGTCTGCATCACTGGATTCCCATGTAGTCGACTGTGGTTCGAGTCCCAGACCCGATAACTTAAACTCACACCAGGTGCATGTGCATGCGTACCCAAGATCCTGAGAGGAGAATGGAGGAGAAGGGATTGTGGCGTGGCCATCCCCCTGGGGGGTGATTTCTCACTTTCTGTTTCTCTGTCTTTCTGGCGAGTGCACATACCCTATAGTAAAAACCTCTCAAAAAAAAAAACTTTAGCTTTCATCCTCATGTGATGTTATGAATTTTAAAAATTTTAAACTGTATGCCCTCCAAGCAAGCTCGTTTTATAATTTTGTATCACTTTTTATGTAAACCATTTTAGGACCAATTTTCTTTATCTTCTTTAAACTTCACTTTAAATCTTAACCAATACACTGGTTAAGATTTAAATTTTTTGAAGGAAAATATTTCAAATAAATCCCAGCTCTTTTTAAAAAGTCATTTAGTGGTTTCTATCTTAGAACCAAACTGTAACAAAATGTTATAAGCATATCTATAATTTCTGAATTTAAAAATTATCAAAATTTTAAGATAAAAGCTTAATTAAAATCTTAATAACTAAGGTATAACAATTAAAACTAAAAATTAAATGAAAGCTAGCTAGAATAAAACATAATATATTAATTTTTTCGTATTTCCTATCATGGTATCAGGAGCCGCTGTCGACATGGAGGTCTTGGGGTAGCGCAGAGTTACAGGTGCAAGTCTGTAAACGGTCTCACCAGACGTTTATGCACCTTCGTCTCATCCGGGTCTTCTCAGCCTTGCTGCTGTGCCCTCTCCCCCAGTCTGTCCCAGTAGTGCTATCTCGCCAAAGTAGATATGGCACAGTATCACAACCAGGATGTCGATGTTGGTGTCATCACTACAAGGGTCCCTCGTGTCACCCTTTTATAAATCCCACCATGAATAAGAATCATGTTTCCTCAAAAGTGCTGAACGTTCTGCCTTGGAAACTTTTCTAATGTGGTGTTTGGATTTCTAGGCGATTGGCAACTTTGGATTCAGTGTTGTTTTTTTCTAAAGTAAACCATCACACTTGGACGGAATGGTTCAAACGTGCATTTCCATGAATGCTTTCTCATGTGTTCGTGCCTGTGAAACACCCGTTAGCTTTGCCGTAGCACATAGGTAGATATAGAAGTGAACCGGCCAGTCCAGAAATTGGCAAGCACCTGCTCCGTGTATTACAGAAGCAGTGGTCACTGCCCAGGAGCTCACAGATAAGGGGGGAAGGAAAGGGCCCTGGGCTGGGGCAGTTAAGAAAGGCTGTGTGGAGGGAAGAGGGGAGAGGACATGGGCAGCAGGTGGCGTCGTAGTTAAGGTGCCAGAGTTCCCCATGGTCAAGTCCCGGACCTGATGGCTTGAGATTATGCTAGGCATGTATGCATGCATGCCGAAAATCCTGAGAGGAGGATGGAGGAAAAGGGATTGTGGTGTGACCATCTGCCCTGGGGGTAGGGGGTGATTTTTCACTTTCCTTCTTTCTGTCTTTCTCCAGTGAGCACGTGTACCCTATGGGAGTGCCGTGAGGAGGGAGGGGGAAACACCGCCTAGATCTTGAGAAGTCAGCTGGGGGGTTGAATTGGCACCCAGACCCGGGGCACAGTCTAATCATTTAAGGTTGACTGAGGCAGGTCCAGAGTGATACGTACATAATGTTGGTGCCCTTGCTAAGAAAAAGAATACAGAGGGACCAGCAGTTAGCGTAATGGCTATGTCACTGGACTCCAATGTAGTTGACCATGGTTCAAGTCCGGACCCAGTGGCTTAAACTCACACCAGGCGTGTGTGTGTGTGTGCGTGCGTGCCCAAGATCCCGAGAGGAGAATGGAGGAGAAGGGATTGCGGCGTGGCCATCCCCCATGAGGGGTGATTTCTCACTTTCTGTCTCTCTGTCTCTCTGTCTCTCTGGCGAGCACACGCCAAAAACCTCTACCAAAAAAAAAAAAAAAAGAAAACAGAGATTTTTTTGTATGTGTCACAGAAACACATAACCTTGTGGCCGCTTCAGGCTGTGACTTCATGGTAAATCCATCCTGAGTTTGGTGGCGTGGGTCAGATTGGCCTGGTCAGTGCTGCAGGAACCCCATGTCCACTGGCCTTCAGGGAGCTCATAGTCTGTGTTGGGGTGGGGGCAGGCAGGGAGGTGATAAGCATTGAGCAAATACTTTCTCAAGTGTTTGGCATGCCATGCTATCTGCTTGTCAGTAAAATGGACACGATTCCCTCATCCAGGAGCTTGCAGTCTGGGCATGGTGGCATTTGAAAAGAGAGCAAAATCCGGACAAAAGTGGGGCTGGGTTGAACTGCAAAGCCTTCCTTCCTAACTAGATGGCCTTGGTGGGCATCTCCAGAAAATGCCACTGGGTATGCCACTGGGTCATCTCAAGACGAGGAGGAATCTGGTCTGTGGGTGGAGTATGTTCGCATGTGATGCTGTACCAGGCCTGACCATGGCAAGCGGGTAGTGGTGTCTTATGTTTCTGCTGCGTTCAAGGCGCTGACACCCTTCCTTACCCCAGCATGGCAGGTCAACAAATGCTCACCGTGTCCAGGTGCATAGAGTGCGAGACTGAGCAGTGAGGGCACTTGGCGATAGCCGAAACCGCCTCTGGTTGTCTGTCTTTCATCAGGAACATGCGAGCCTCGTGGTGGCTAGGGTCTTTCCTGTTGTGTCCGTCACTGTATCCTCAGCTCCTAAGATGGGGCCTGCTCGGTAGGCAGCATTCCTTAAGTGTCCGCTGAATGAGGGAGCGGGAAACATCCTTGGTGGTGTCCATTGGTACCAGCCAAACATGATCATCGTAGGTACATTTCATGCGCTCCAGGCTCGTTTTCCTTGGCTATTGCTCCCTATGCCAGAGTTTCTCAATCTTAGCCTTATTGACATTTTGGCCAGTTAATTCTGCCCTGGCATTGCAGGATGGTTAACAGCATCCCTGGCCTCTCCCCACTAGATGCCGATGGCAACCCCACCCCCAGTTATGACTAAAGTATCTCCAGACATTGCCAGATGGCCCCTGGGGGCAGAATCACTGCTGGCTGAGAACGACAAGCTCATACGGTAATTTTAGGCTTGGCAAGAAGGAAACCAGCAAAGCCTCAGAGTCAGGATCAATTATAAAGGTCCATGAGTACCAGTTCCCTGCTATGCGCTTGTAACTGTCTCAGCCAGTCCTGCCGCACCCACCTCCTCTGACGTGTTCTTGGTGACAGCAAAGGAGCCAGCCCTCACTACCTCCTGGAACGCACACAGTGACAGAACCATTCTGAGCACCAGTCTACATGGAGCGGACGGCCAGCTTGCCTGTGTAGATGCTGTAGTTAGATCCCTGGAAATCCCGATGAGGGAGAAGATGGAGGCGCGGGCTGGCTTGCACCCCATCTGCGCTGCCTGTCCACCCCACACATGCCCTGTCCTACTACGGCTTCTCTCTCTTCCTTTTGTACTTACTGATCTCATCATCTCCCTGGCCCTTCCAGAACCATTTTGGAAATGGAAGGCAGGAAAGAAGAAAGAGGAAGAGAAGAAAAAGGAAAAAGGAGGTAAGAAGAACGTTAGCATGGTAACATCTTTACGGTGGTGAAGACACACCCAGAGTAACTGGCCCTGACGTTTTCAGACTGCAGGTTAGAATGGTTCTGCCACTGTCTGCAGACAGTCCTTTTTTTTTTTTTTTTTTTTCTTTTTTAATGTAGAAAGAAATCTATTTCCAAGGCATCTGGAAAATGCATCTCAGATTTTCTCATCAGGACAGATCATTGGTGTGGGGTGGCTTCTTTTGGCGGATTAGAATAGGAAACACGCTGGAGTGATGTCAAGTAAAGCATTTGCGTTCGGAAGCAGGAAGAACGCATTTTCTGCCATAGTTAAACTATTGAAAGACTCAGAGGCAAGCGTCTCTAAGGGCTTTTCTTCCTCACATTACCCTGAATAGCAGTCACTGCCAGCCCGTTTCACTGACTATTGCACTCTCCAGGCCTGGAGTAAACTTTCTCCGTATAACTTGCAAGACAGGCAGATTCTCAAGAACGTGCATTTCCAAAAGAAGGCAGAACATTTTTGCTCTCTTTGCTCTAGTCAGGATACGTATTTTAAGCGTGGAACACTTTGACACTGGCACAAAGAACCACTATACTGGGGCCAGCAGGTGGCAGAGTGGTTAAGGTGCTGGACTTCCACATAGTCAACCGCAGTTCAAGTCCCAGATGCGGGACTTGAAACTCATGCCATTTGCGTGCATGCCCAAAATTCCAAGAGGAGAATGGAGGAGAAGGGATTGTGGAATGGCCACCCCCCACCCGGAGGGTTGATTTTTCACTTTCTATCTCTTTCTGGTGAGTGCATGCACCCTATAGCAAAAATCTTTCTCTAAAAAAAAAAGAAAACAAAATCACACACACACATACATAAACACATAATAAAACAAAGAAAAAAAAAAACACCATACTAGCTGCTGATTGACATTTCTCTCTCTCTCTCTCTCTCTCTCTTTTTTTTAAAGAGGTTTTTGCTATAGGGTGCATACACTTGCCAGAAAGACAGAGAGAGACAAAGAGACAGAAAGCGAGAAATCATCCCTGGGGGCGGGGGGGGGAGGCGCTGTGGCCACGCCGCAATCCCTTCTCCTCCATTCTCCTCTCAGGATCTTGGGCACGTACGCACACACGCCCAGAGTGAGTTTAAGCCACTAGGTCCAGGATTCGAACTGCAGTCGACTACATGGGAGTCCATGGGCATAGCCATTATGCCAACTGCTGGTCCCTGATTGACCTTATTCAACCTTGCCTCACTTGTAACTTGGGCCGGGCTCTTGAGAGTCACTCCCAGAATGAAGAAACTACTCGCTGTGGGGTCTGTCCAGGCTGGGGTCTGGTTTGTTCCATTTCTGCAGATGACACTTGCCTCCTCCCCTCATTTTGAGCCCTGGCATCTGTGCACCAATGCGTGGACTTACATATCACTTATTGATTGTGAATGTATATGTGCTTACTATATAGACGTGGCTATGCCCAGGGTATTGTGCTCCTCTCGAGGAGCTTCAGTAGCAGGAACTATTGGAAGAAGTAAAAGGAGAAAAAGTAAAAGACGGTGTCGCTCCATGACTAGAAGCTTTGCCTTCTGGTGCGGCTGCCAGAGGGCTTCGATAAGTGACCCTGGGCAATTGACTCACCGCTCAGTGCCTCAGCTTCCCATCTGCAAAATAGGTGGATAATTTTCTTCTCAAGGTGATTGTAAGGATGGAAAGGATCAGATATTAAAAAGCACTGAGTGCACAAACAAGTCTTTAGTTAGCACTCAGTAAATAATAGTTATTTTTTTCAAAGAGGTTTCTCAAGATTGGTTTGAGTTTTAGGTTTTAATCTCTTTTTACTTTTTCTTTTTTTTTTCTTTTTCTGAACCATTTCCTGCTCTGACTCAGTTTTCTTTTTATCGTAGGTTCCATATTTTGGGCGGAGGATGCATCACACTTGTCCATGTCTGCCAGGCTTGGCCTGTTTACGGACTTCATTTAACCGGTTTATTTGTTTAGCCCGAAAGTAATCACTGTAGACTAGAAACTTCGAGTGCAAACAGCCACATGACGTCTGTACAGTCTTACTTGTGACCATGCCAAACAAATAAGATGCCAGGAAGAAACGCTCTCTCTTCCTCAACTTTCCAAGTAACGTTTTGATTTTTCAATGATTTTTCTTTTTAATTGAAAGGGCATTAACATTTGGATAGAAACACATAGCATTATGGAACCAGGGCTTGTTTCCCTGCCTGTGTTTTGGTTTGGTTTGGCTTTTGTTGTGCCCACAACTTAGCCATTTTCACAAAAATAAGGAGAATGCGAATTCGATATTTTGGTGCAGTAACATTTTCTTCTTCTTACCACTTCCCCACCGCTGTCCCTGTCCCATACACCCAACCCTTTGGTCTCTTGTCTATTTAGCCTCAAAGAATTCTAATATCTTCCCTTTATTCCTCATCTCCTTCCTCATGCCTGTAGCATTTCAAAGTGGAGGACCCATATTCTTCAGCTTGCTGGAAGGATCACTGATGAGAATCAGGCGTTTTGCCTGATACTTAAGCAGTGAAAAGAGTGTGCATAATTGAGCTAGGTATTCCCAACTCTCTTAGCAGAGGGGAGGTTGGGAGTGCTTCCGGAACGTCCCTAAACCTGTCTGTGCAAGTGGACTTCAGCTCTGCTTTTGGAGGACAGGAAGAATGGGAAGCCAAATTAACTTTGTTCAGATTTATACATTTGGATTATTTATATATGTATGACTTCTTTTCCAATACAGTATTACATTGATAACTTTTTCTTTATTTTTAAAAAAGTCTCCTTATTAGAGATGTTCTAAGAAATGTCACTTGAAGAGGAAGTGTTGATTTAATCTGGCACACTAGTTACCACTTTTAAATTGGTATCAAGTTATAATTTAAACTTTATTTGTAACCAGAAGGTTGATTGTAATGGATCGCTTGACATCCTGCCATTTGTATACCTGTATCAATATTGCTGTGCAAGAATTCTGTATCAGAATAATGACAGTACTGTATACCATTTGATTTATTTTAATATTATATCCTTATTTTTGTCACGGTTGTTGTCAGTTTTTATTAAAATCAGATTTCTATAAAGACCACATCCTAACATGGGTTGAAACTCCCAAGTTGGTCAAAGAGCCCTAGCAGCCTGTGCATTGTCGTTTTTCATACAAGAAGCTTCTGTGTGCACGGATTTTAAGGTAGAACAACAAAAGATGTGTAAGCCACTGAGGTTTTGGAGCGTGAGGGAAAACTACGACATGCAAAACCGATTGTCATCAGGAATGGACTTGTGGGATTTCACTGTACTGGTTCAGCAAACAGTGACAGAGGGGGTGTGGTGGGCAGTTAGTCAGGGCTGGCACTAACCATGTAGTGACGCCTATGTGGTCTGGCCCTGGAAAACCTACGAAGTATTGTAAATGGAGTCAATGTCGCAAATAAACAACCTATGAAACGTGTTGAACTGAAAAAAGAATAAAGAAAGTTGTCCATTCCACAGTTATTTTATTCAGCTAGGGCTTACAATGGCATGTTATATGTAATTTTACCCTTTGGGATAACATGTCCCATGTGGGATTTTGCTGTACTAATTACCGTACTTGGTCCAGGAAGTATTATTGGTTCAGTTTAGTTTGTGTTTAAGAAATATTTCTCAGGACCAGCAGGTGGCGTGGTGGTTAAGGCTCTGGACACTCCTACATGGCTGACTACCTTTTGAGTCCCCGACCTGGTGACTTGCTTTATCACGCCCCACCCCCAATCTCTCTGTGTGTGTCTCTCTCTGGTCAAATTAAAATAATTGAATGTCAAATTAAATAATTCTTTAAAAAAGAGAAGTATTTCTCAGCAAATTCATTGAAACAAAACTAGACTTCAATAAGTGGATTATAGGTAATGAAATAGGCACTTCAGCAATTTTCCTTCTTTTTCTTTTAACTTTTTTTTTAAGAATTACTATTATTGCTGTTGTTGTCGTTATTGTTAAGCAAATCTGAGCAGAGAGACAGAGAGTAAACAAGCTACCAGCTCCAGGACTCGAACCATCGTTAGCCATGTGAGAGTCTAGCACTTCAACCACCACCTGCCAGCCCTTTGTTTTTTTTTTTTTTAATCGTGAGAGAATTCATGTGCTTATTAGAGACAGAGAAGGTTAGCCCATGGTTGACTGGTTAAGGGACACAGATTCCCCATGGCTGACTACACTGTTTTAATCCTAGCCCTGGAGGCTTTGAAAAGCATGCTGAGGGGGCAGTAAGAGGGTATGGTGGTTCAGGCACTGGACTCTCACAGGGCTGACTGCAGTTCGAGTCCTGTACTCAGTGACTTGAAACTCATGCTGGGCACATGTGTGTGCATGCCCAAAATCCCGAGAGAAGGGTGAAGAAGGGACTGTGGTGGAGCCATCCTCTCTGAGGGGTGATTTCTCACTTTTCCTCTCTGTCTCTCTCCAGCAAGCACACGTGTCCTATGGTCAAAACCTACAAAAAAAAAAAGAAAGAAAGAAAGAAAGAAAGAAAGAAAGAAAGAAAGAAGTTGCCGAGGACATGTGGATGTGCACATGTGCTCCAACTCCCAACAGGATGGAGACGTGGAGGAGGGGAGATTGCAGTGTGACCATGCCTCACTATGGGGTGCTTTCTCCTCCACTCTCTAGCGAGCAAATGCACTCTCTGCCAGTAAGCAGGAACAGCGTAGAGAGATCCACGCACGTGCCTGGTGTGTTTTCAGGCTGCCAGCTAGAATTTCTACAAGGTAAAGCAAGGTGAGAATTTGCAAAATGAAAGCTAAATTAGCAGTCTCCTTGGATTAAAAATACTGTGGATGCCCATTCCCTTCCATGAGGGCCACTGTAAAATTCACTAGCAACCTTTTATGATCTTTCTTCATGTTTCTATGCATTTGAGAGAGTATTTTAGAAGCAATTTTTTTTTTTTTTTTTTTTTTGGAGAGAGACGCAGAGTAAGAGAGGGAAAGGAAAGTGAGAAATCAACGCCCAGGGGTGGTGGCCACACACTGCCATCACTTCTCCTCTAATTCTTTTCTTGGGATTTTGGGCACACACACCGGCATGATCTTCAAGCCACCAGATCCTGATTTCAAACCATGCAGTTGGCCATGTGGGATCCAGCTACCCTAACCTCCATGCCATCTGCTGGCCCAGAAGTGATCATCTTTCATTCTCTAGTATCTTCCCTTAATTTGCTAACTCAGCACTCCCTTCTGCATTAAAGAGAACTACGCATCTTCCAGCATTTAAAGAAATTTTAATTAGTAAGAATTGTACATATTTACGGTGTACAACATGATGTTTTGAAATTTGTAAACATTGTGGAATGGCCAAATCGAGCCAATTAACATATGCATCACCTCACATACCGATGTTTTGGTGATGAGAACATTGAAAACCTACTCTCTGTGCTTTTCAAGTGTATAATATTAGCTATAGTTACCATGTTGTACAATAGATCACTCAGCATTTTTTAATATACCTAACAATGACGTTCTTTAGCAACATGATTCTTAAATAAAATTTATTACCCTTCGCCCCCCCAAAATTTTATATATTAGCATTACGTTCACATTCCCCAAAACTAATGCCCTTAATCTACTGCTATTGAAGTACCATTCCTATTTTTCCCATTATCCACCATCTGTAGAGATTCCAATCGCATTTCTCTGGGATTAGACCTGGGTGTTGAGAATTTCTGAAGCTTCCTGATTAATGACAAGATGCACCCATGGTTGAGAGCCACAGAAAGAGTAAAAGACTACAGATCGATAGAAAAGCTGCTGCTCCTCTGTACCACTGTGTGATGAGCTTTCTAGTTCAGTTAGCAGTGGATCCAGCAGCTAAATGTCTCTGTCTTTTCTTGCCACCCTCAAGGTTCCTATGGCCTCAGAGTAAAGGACTCCACGTTCGTGTTTTCCATAGGGAAGCTCACAGAGGTGGCCTCCTGGAGAACTGAAGTGACAATGACATAGCTAATGTGAAGGTCTAGGCAAAGTTCCCTAAAATTAGATTGGGGAAGAAGGCCAAGGACCTGTCTGGCCAGCCCCAGGCTGTCCTGCTGACCTTGGGGCTCCACTGGTTTTATGACACCCTCTAGTGCACCCTCCGAGGTGACCCAGCCACTGCACTCCCCAGCAGATGTT